TTTTTTTTTTTTTTTTTTTTTTTAGGAATGCACTACCTCCACGCAGAAGCTCCGATCAAAGTCATCCACCGAGACCTCAAGTCACGGAACGGTAATGCAACGCTGTGATATTATTTCTTCTTCTACTTCTATGTTTCCTAACGTTGCCTCTTTTATTCATTGATTTTATTTCTTTCCCAGTGGTCATGACAGCAGACAAAGTGCTTAAGGTGAATGTTCAAAAGGCGTACATGTTCAACCCATTCCATGCAGGCTGTGAATGAAATGCATTTTTCTTTTCTTTTTTTGCAGATTTGTGACTTTGGTGCGTCAAAGTTCTTGTCCCATACCACTCACATGACTGTGGTGGGCACCTTTCCCTGGATGGCTCCCGAGGTCATTCAGAGCCTGCCTGTCTCTGAAACCTGCGACACATACTCATATGGCGTGGTGAGACACTTCTTAATGCTTCATCATATTTCGTATCCAAACTGATCATGCAGTTTCTCCCTCAAGTATCCCCGTACTGGATATGTGTGAACACACTGCTTGTCTCGAAACATATTTTGGACAGTCTGTTTGGGTTGAGCATGTGAGTTATGTGAGTAATACGTCTCCGCTGGAGAAGTGTTGTGGAGCCTGGGATATGCAAAAACGGCCCTGCTCTATTCTGCTATTCATCAACGTGTCACGGGGGAGCAACATGGAGTACGTGCTCCATTTTGAAGCGTTTCAGCGTGAACTTAGTGAATCAAAATATAGTCGTTGTCAGGTAGGGCCACCAAAACATCACTTTTTTCCCCATTTTTAGTTGAGCAGCATTTTTTGGTGGCCTGTGAAAGCTTGCTGGAATTTTATTTTTAAATAATCCCCCCCGAAAATTATAACATTCAATTGCAGAGGTAGGCATGTTATGTGATGGGGTATTATTTGGGTTCTTGAACTGGTGGCAGGTGAGTGCTAATTCCCAATTAACATGACTGTAAAAGAAATTGGTTCACAGTGAACGCAGATATATTGTGAGTTAGTTACTAAGTAACTGCAATTGTAACTAAGTAACTAATAATAGCTATCTAACTGTAACTAGCTAACTCTAAAAAGGCAAATGTAACACCGTAGCTTTAACTGTGCCTACTACGTAACTGTAATTGTACCTGCAGCTACGGGAGGAAGTAACTGTTTCGTTTTTTTTTT